CAGAAACGTTTGAATTAATTACACTTTCAGGATGCTGATGAACAAAGGAGTAAAGCCTAGTGCTGAAGGTCAGAAGCGTGCTGTCTGTGCTGAGCACAAATCCTTGGAAATAATTCAGCCCCAGCGGTGCAACTTCAGCAGTTAGACGGCTCCACCCGCCAGAACCCGGAGGAAACGCTGTTTCCATATATGGTCATTGCAATCTAGCACCCAGATCTCCCACCTGTGGCTCAGATGCTAGTGAGCTGATTCATTTCCAGCGAGGAGGATTCTGTTGCTCTAGGGAAATAGTCTTTTCAGGGAAAAGTGAACTTCTCCAACTTCCAACGCCCAGTATTTAAATCCACCTTTCTCCTACCTCTTAGAAAAGTGAAATAAAATAAATTGCCCCCAGGAAGAGGAGAACGCGCTGGCAGGTCTAAGTCCTTAGAACAGTGCTCTGAGCCAGGCCGGTCTGGGACTCCGGGGACCCCAGGACTACTCGGACTCCCTGCTTTTTGTTGTTTTTCCCGGACCTTTCCGATTGGAGGAGGCGGAGATGGCGACCTGGACTCCCTACGCGCTGGCTGCGATGGAAAGCGAAGCGCCCGGGGAGGGGAGCGAGGACGATTAGGTGTCAGCTAGGGCCTTGCCATGACCACGGCTGGGCGGGCCTCCGAGGGCACTGCCCGTTCGCTGCCCTGCCCCTTGTTCTTGGATTCTGAGATGCAGGAGGTGGGCTCCGTGTCCGCTGGGGCCCCTCCAGCCCCGCTCCGGCGCAGCTGGGCTGGGATCCGGCGCTCGCGGGGCAAGTGGCCAGGGGCTCCGACCGCTCCGAGCCACTGGCGGACGGCGGGGCGCGGGGACGCGCCGGGGGCTGCACTTACCGGGACGCGTGGCGGGGAGAAATCGGCCTGCGGGTCGCCTGCGAGCGAAGGAAGGTGCGCCCCGGGGCGCGCTCCGGCTCGCTGGCTCGGCGGCTGCGACCACACCCACCTCCCGCCTTCCGCCGGCCCCGCCGGCCCCGCCGCCCCCCCTGACCGCAGCCCGAGGCCGAGGCCCGCGAGCAAACCTGCGTCTCTGCCGCCTGCGCCCTCCTGGGTCTCTAAGTCTTCCCCAGCCTTGTTTTCCAGCGTCTTCATATGGAAGCTCATTTCCTCGGTTTTCACCTCTCCTTTACTTGCCTGAGGTTCTTTGAATTTATTGTAACGCTGACTTTGTTCTAGAACCTTGCCGATGTAGAGATCAGATCGTCCCCACCCCCAAGGAAGTCAGGTCCTGGCACAGGTGGCAGGCACCCTATACAGCCAGGGGCGTTTATCCAGTACTGTGTGTTGACCTTGCACCAAGCACCCTTCCAAATTCTAGTCTGAACCAATTTAAATTTGTATTACAACTCCACATAAGGAAGATACCATTGTTCTTATTTTGTAAATGAGGAAATTGAGAGAGATTAGGTAATTTAAGATTACAGAGAGATTAGGTAATTTAAGCGAAGTCACACCAAGAGTAAATACCTGAGCCACATTTTTGAACCCAAGTATTTTAGTAGTGTTCCTCTGCCAGGGTGATTGACTGGCGTGAGGATTCGAGCCAAAGACTCCGGGAGATAGTAAGATTATAGGCATTTGGAACAATTAAAGCCCTAATTGTATGAGGGAATTATGAGCAGCTGTGTGTTGAAGGATGTAGTAGACGGTAATAAAAGTTAACGATTTATTGGACATCAGGCATTGAGATAAGTCCCTAATTACATTACCTCTTTATCTTCAAGGCAGCTCAGGAGATGCCATTTTTATCAAAATTTGCAGCAAAGGAAATTAAAGTTTAGAAAAATTTACACCAGAACTGGCCGGTTCAAATCCAGCCCTGGCCTGCCTACCAATAATGACAACTACAACCAAAAAATAGACGAGTGTCACAGCAGGCGCCTTGTAGTCCCAGCTACTTGGGAGGCTGAGGCAAGAGAATCACTTAAGCACAAGAGTTTGAGGTTGCTGTGAGCTGTGATGTTACAGCACTCTACAAAGGGTGACAGCTTGAAGCTCTGTCTCAAAAAAAAAAAAAAGAGAAAAGAAAAGAAAAGTTAAGTGGTTCTTTTAAAATACCAATAATAAAATCAATAAGCCTCTAGCTGGGCTAAGAAAACAAACAAACAAACAAAAAAAGACACAAATTCCTAATATCAGACATAAAAGAGAAAACATCATTACCGATCCCACTGACATTAAAATTATAATAAGGGAATACTATGAACAACTTCAACCCACAGATATGATGCCCAGTCTGGATGAAATGGACTATTCCTTGAAAGGTATGAATTGCTGAAACTGGCTAAAAAAAGAAATAGGCATATAAATAGGCTTACATTTATTAAAGAATTGGAATCAATACGTAATTAACTTCCCAAACAGAAAGTACCAGGTCCAGATGGAAACAGAGGGAATACTTCTTAACTCATTCTGAGACCAGAATTACCCTAATACCAAAACCAGACAAATACATCACAAGAAAGAAAACTACACACCAATCTCTCTCATAAACATAGGTGCAAAATTTCTCAACAAAATATTAGCAAATTGAACCTGTTATGTCCGAAATTCTCCCAAAAGACCCCCACAGACAGTCCGAGACACACTCCAATGTAAAAAGCATGAGATGAGTTTATTTCAGGCCCTGGGAAGCCTGGACTCTCCTGGCATGCAAGCCTAGGATGAGCCCCGAACTCAGGGTGGAGGAAGTTTTTATGGGTACAGAAAGCAAGAGGGGTAGGGTCGGATACGAGTACACTTTTCATTGGTGGTTGGTGATTTCATTAGTAAAGGGGGAAGTAAAGGAGGATTTGCACTGGTGGCTGATGATTTCACTAGTAAAAGTGAATTTGGATTGGTACAGGTGAGGGGTAGAGGGTCCCTTAACCGGGTGCTAGAGTTGGTGCAACCTGGTTACCTGTATTTCAAGGTAATAGAAACTTATTGTTTATTATAGCAACTATTTGCCTAAGGTGACTCAGTTTACAGCGCAGTGGCTGTGCAACCTGGGGTGGGGGAAGGCAGCAGGGAGTGGCCCTGCAGGTTTCACTGGCAGAGGTTGGGGCGGAAGGGCTATGCGGTAAACAGCTAGGAATGGGGCTTGTGCTGTAAACAGCCAAGAATGGAGCTTGTGCTGTAAACAACAAAATGGAGCTAGTTTGGCTCTCACAAACCCATTAAGTATAAAAATAATTATACACCATGGCCAAGTATAATTTATCCCGGTGTTCAAGTCTGGTTCGACATTTAAAAATTAACTAATGTAATCCACCACATAAATAGGCTAAAGAAGAAAACTCACACGATCATATCAATAGATACAGAAAAAGCATTTGACAAAATCCAAAGTGATTCATGATTTAAAATTTCGGTAAACTAGTAACAAAGGGGAACTTCCTCAACCTGATAAAGAGCCTACAGCCGACATCGTATCATACTAGAAGATGTCCTAGTAAGATCAGAAACTAGACAGTGACGTTCCTCTTACGGCTGCTTTTCAACATTGTATTGGAAGGCTTAGCTAATGCATAAGACAAATTAAAGAAATAAAAGCTATACAAATCCCAAGGAAGAAATAAAACTGTTTTTGCAGATGACATGATGTTGGGTGGTACTTTCTTGAAGGGAGAGAAGGATGGCTTGGCTGCAGGTGCAAGCTCGCTCCTAGAATTGTATGAAAGCAAGAAACGACTACTACTCGGGGTGGCAGTAGCAACATGTCTTTATTTTCCACTCCCTTTTATTGGGAGCTAGTCACTTACACCACATTGATCAATAATCCTAACATCCTCTATTCTTATCTCAAACTATAGAAAACTAAGAAAGTCCGGGAAAGTGGGATAACCACCTTAAGATTAGCCTCAGGGTATTCCTCTCTAGAGACCCAAAACAACTATACATTATCTGACTTCTATTGTTAAAGTTAAAGGTCAGGATAAACAGGGGAGTAAAACCTTTTTCTTCTATGTACTCAATTAAATTTCTGAGAAACAGGCTCCATGACTGTTTTCTCATGGTTTGGAGCCCCCCACAACGATGGAGTGTTCTTTTACTCACATCATTACGATGGAGTTTTTCTTTTCATTCACATCAACCTTTGAGTCATGTCCCCTACACAGATGGGCCATTTCAACCCTTATCTGGCAGGCTGACTTGACTGCACAGTCGGGGTTCCATGTAGGAGGTTGTTAGGCCTGGCCTACAGGCCCCCACTGCGCTTTCCAAGGTCGCTTAGGCCTTGACAAGAACACCTAATACTCAAGAGTCTTTTCCCTCAGCTTCTGGAATTTAAAGAGCACATTTCATTTAATTTTGTGGGAGTTCACCCCACGACATGATCCTCTATATAGAAAATCCAAAATAATTGAAAAGAATGTTCTGGAACTAATAAGCAATTATAGCAAGGGACAGCATACAGGTTAATATTATGAAAGTCAATCACTTTTCTATGGATGAGCAAGGAAGATAGAATTTGAAATTAAAAACATATACCATTTACATTAGAACTCCCCAAAATGAAATGCTTAGGTATAAATCCAACAAAATATGTACAAGATATATATGAAGAAAACTACAAAATTCTGAAAAAAAAAACAACAAAGAACTAAATAAATTGAGAGATGTTCATTAATAGTAAGATAATATTGTGACGGTGTCAGTTCTTTCCAATACAATTTAAAGATTCGATGCAATCTCAATCAAAATCCAAGCAAATTATTTTGTGGATATTAACTAACTGATTTTAAAGTGTATACAAAGAAGCAAATGGCCCACAATAGCCAACACAATACTGAAGGAGAGGAAGTTGGAGGACTGACACTACCCACTTCAAGACATACTATGAACTATAAACCTATAGTAATCAAGACAGTGTGATTGATATTGGCAAAAGAAGATATAAGTAGATCAATGGACTAAATAGAAACCCTGAAATAGATCCCCATAATTACAGACAATAGCTCTTCAACAAAGGAGCATAAGCCAGAGGCAAAACAATGGAAAAAGATCATATTTTCATAAAATGATGCTGGAAGAACTGGACATCCACATGCAAAAAAAAGAATCTAAACACAGATCTCACGTCCTTCACAAAAATTAACTCAAACTAGATCATAGAACTTAATGCAAAGCACAAAACTCTAAGACTTCTGGAAGATAGCATAGGAGAAAATCTAAATAACTTTGCGCTTGTTAATAACTTTGTAGATGCAACACCAAAGGCAAGATCTGTGAAAGAAAGAACGACAAGCTGGAATTCATTAAAATTAAACACTTCTGCTTTGTGAAAGACAAAGTGAAGATAAGGAAAAGACAAGCCACTGACTGGGGGAAAATATGCGTTGGCAAAAGACAATTCAGATAAAGGACTTGTACCCCCAAATAAGTCAAGAACTCTTAAAACTCAGTCAGAAGTTTAATTGCCCAATTTAAAAATGATCAAAAAATATGAACAGATATCTCATCAAAGAAAATATACAAATGGCAAGAAATCCCATGAAAAGTTGCTCCACATCATATGTCATTTGGGAACTGGAAACTAAAACAACAATTAGATGCCACTACACACCTATTAGAACAGCTAAAACACCAAATGCTGGTCAGATGTGGAGCAAGAAGAATTCTCCTTCATTGCTGGGGGTTCAGTCACTTTGGAAGAGAGTTTGCCAATTTCTGATACAACTAAATCTCACCAATTGTGCTCACTGCTGTTTATCCAAAGGAGTTGAAAACTTACAGCCACATCAAAATTTGCACATGGATGTTTATAGCGGCTTTCTTCATTATTAACAAAACTTGGAAGCAACCAAGATGTCCTTCACAGGTGAACGGATAAATACACTGGGCTACATCCAGGCAGTGGGATATTACTCAGGGCTAATTGCGCGTCAAGCCGTGAGCACAGGTGGAAGAAATTTTAATGTG